GGGTTACCGAAACCCGGATCCCCGTACTTTTCAATCGGGTTTTGGATCGTAACTACCAACCGTGCCCATGCACTGGGTTGGTCGAGACGAAGACGTCTACTGGTGTGAAATTGGGACCAAACGCGGTACAAACCCCAACCAAGGTTTCAAACCACTTGCCGCAGTATGATTTCGTGCCTACGGCTGGTGGTGTTGCAACCCAAACTGGCTATCGCGTTGCTGGTACTACCAGGACCAAAGTGCATCTGTACAGCTCGTGTCGAGCCCTGACCAACAAGGACGTGGAAGAAACTTCCGTCACTGAAACTACTGACTTGTGCAGAACATGCATGTTGAAGCAGCCCGTGGCTGAACAGAATTTGCCGAGTAGCGGTGTTGGTTCTGAATATAGGGCTGAGGGTAATATTGAAACAGAAGTTCAAGCTACAGCTGGCCGCAATGTCTATGATAAAGATGATGATATCGACAGTGTACTCGCGGAGCTGGCTGCAACCCCAACAACAAACGTTCCCCAGGCTCGAGTATCCAACGGTACGTCACCCTTGGTCGGTCAGTCACGTATGGGGTATCGTATTAGCAGTGCAGCCAAGGGCAAGGTGCACGCTAATCCCGCATGTAATTCACTTAAGAACAAGCAGGTACTCGGAGTGGTTATAACGGAAACAACCGATCTGTGTAAGAAGTGCAACCTTATCACCCCTGAAGTGCAAATGCGTTCAGTAGGCTCCGAGGATAACGCTTACGTTAATGAGGCATTTAACGTAGAGTCACCAAACGTCCCAACTCAAGTACCGGTGGTGGATGTTACGCGTGAACCAACAGCTACTGTTACATCGACCGTCCAGTCTCGCACGGGATACCGTATTGCCGGCGCAACTAAGGGTAAGGTTCACATTGCTATGACGTGTGGATCCATTAAGAACAAGACCCTAGACGAAGTCGCGGTAACCGGAACAACCGATCTGTGTAAGAAATGCAACAAATGATTGGAGTATGGGGTTGGGGAGGAGTGTGTTGTTATCCACAGTTAAACATCAAAAATATCAATAAAGTAACTCTACATGAAATTAAATGAGCTTGCTAATGTTACGTCTGAGGTTAGGGTTTAATTTGGTTGGTGGAACAATTTTCGTGTAGTTGTTGAGTTTTAGAGTTCCGATTGCTGTGAAACTTTGTGATACTAAGACTTCTAATCCCCACAATAAACCCCAAACCCAGAGACCCTACACGTACACCCAAACCCCCAATTTGGACCATAAGTGGTATACTACGTGTTAAACCCTAAAACCCTAATTAGGAGATAACTGGTCTTTGGGTGTGTTGTGCGAGGTGGACTGTCCAAGCCACACCCCCCGTTTGTGATGGGTGGTCAACGGTTTAGGGCTGATCCGTGAACCTCCCATTATTTAGCTACTTCAAGTCACAGTCGGTTGAACCATTCGTAAATGCACCACTATATAATAAGTAGTCGCGCGTTCACACTTTCCACATCACTTGGACATTATCACTTCAACTTAATTATGTCTCTTCAGCCATCTCGTATCGAAACTGTCGGTAGCGACATTTTTTCAATCATCATGTCGAAACTGACAATCGTCGATGTCCTTGAGCTTCATGCTACATGTCGCAACATTCAGAAACTGAACCTTGTACGCCAGTATCTTGACGGGGAACTGGCCTTTGACTGTACCGAAAAGTTTCGCAGCCCTGAGGTTTGGGACTCGATTTCTAAGCTGGGTCTGACCCGAGTGTGGATTAAATCGTACAGCAGCGCTGCTTCACTATCTGGGATCTCGACCCTGACAAACCTGAAAACGGTACGTCTTGAAAATCGTGGCTCGGTCAGCGACTCCGTCAATTTATCAATACTCTCGAAACTAACATCACTGGAAAACCTCGATTTGATCGGTATCCGAGCGTGCAAGGGGTCTTTGCGAGACCTCCACCAGTTGAAGCAACTTGAACTTAGCGACTGTCCATTTGACGTGGACCCCATCATCAGGAGTTTGGGGGGTCTTGTTAATTTGCGCCAATTGTGCCTAGACGAATCCGGGGCGGAGGACGAAGGTGACTATCTGGATTTGGAGTCCCTGTCCCGTTTGAACCAGTTAACGAAGCTCGAAATTACTGCCAACGACCCCCGTGTATCGGTGGAACCATTGACGGGATTGCGCAATTTGGAACATCTGGAATTGCACAGTATGCACATTCTGGACTACGATATGCTCGGACACCTGATTAATCTGAAGACCCTAGTGTTGTCGAATGCCGAATACGTGAAACACGGTGAGTATTCTGTTGACTTCCGTCTATGTAAAAACCTGGAATCTCTAAACATATCCGAGGATGATGATTTCGAGGACTATTTGTTACCAGAAGGATTTGTTAATAAAGTTTAATCGAATCATGTATGAGCTTTATACTGTATAACACTGTGAAAAGATAAACGTTGATACGTTAGTAACTCCGCAGAACAGATGAACCCTGTAAACGGAGAATACACTTGAATGTTTAAAAAAGGAAAGGCAGCGCCAGGGGTGGGATTAAACACTGCCAAAAGAGAACAACCCCTACCCAAACTTTAAACCATTGAGTTCGGGTGTTGATGCTACCTTTAAAGGTTGTTGTTTACAAGATTCCCGTGTACGAAACGAAATCGTTTTAGGAATTGGGGTTGTTGTTTTGATGTTTATTTATGTGCTAAAATATCTCTATGTGTCGTCGAACCCTGAACTCTTTATTGGTAAACCCCTAAAACCACTGGTTCTACTCACCAAATGTCGTGGTTATGGCTTTTATATAGTACTAATACATTTTACGCCCAAATCGTTCAATCATGCGGTTGATTCGAGGGGCGCTCGGTGAATCTAGTCCACATTCCAACAACACACACGCAATCCCTAATTCGGTCGTTTCGAATAGGGTGTGATTTGCAGTAATGATATCAAGTAGGAGAAGGATCCTCGGTAGCGGCTTCCCGATGGACTTATCCGTCCGAATCGTCTTGGAAATCAGTGCTACAATATCGGGTGCAGGCTCGTACGGCTCGTCGGCCCCGTGTAGTAGAACGTCAATCATGTACCAGTAACAGTAGTCGGTGTTTGCCGAACCCAGGAGAACTCGCAGCATTGTTTCGTGCATACCAAAGAACACGTGGTCTCTTATCCCGAAGTACGTTTCACACGTCTGGTCGCACACACAGTGTTCGTTGTCTCCATTTTCGCGGTGGTGGTTCATATTTCAGCTAGCCTTTTGTTGTTGTTGTTGTTACAATAGAAACTGAACCCTACCAATAGTGTGCTGGTGCGTTTTATACCCACCCTTCGGATGATCCATGACCGATCCGTCCCGATCCGTGAACCCCCCAATCCCCGACCCATAGAATTTTTGCCACGCCAATACTTAGACCGATTAGTATAAAGGGTGCTGGCACGCACAGTGTAGCTTCACATTCACACACTGTCCTTTGTGAACCTATTATATACATCTAAAGTTTAGTATACTTGTTCAGCCGAAATCATGGAAGCCATCACCCAGCCGACTGCAACAGCAACCTTGACAGAGTCTATAACGCAGAGTCCGAGTGGATTAGTGACCTCTGCCGATCAGACCTCTGGGCTTACGGTTGCTATGGAAACGCTTGGAATGGACACTGTGAATAGGACACCGGGACTTGGTGACCCGTCAATCAACCCGATCGTGGACTCGGACCGAATTGCCGATGACGACGAGCATCATCGGGTAACGCTCAACATTGACGATATCCGCGACCAGCTATTTACCTGTGGTGTGTGTGTACGGGTATTTGAGGATGTTACGACAACTATGTGCTGTACGTTCATCCTGTGTGTTGCCTGTGTTAATCGACTAGGTGAATGCACTTGTCCCAATTGTCGTAACGACAACCTGAGTCTTACTCGAAACCCAATGGCCAAGCACGTCTTGCAAGTGTTTGAACATACGTGCCCCAAGTGCCCTCAGCACTTAAATCCCATTACAAGTGACGGTCACGTCTGCTTTGCACCCCCGGTAACATCGATAGTTGTCCCGGATACTACTGTCATCGACCCTAACATGTATGATGATGTACCGGCGTCGCCAGAGAATATACCATCATCCCCAATGTATGTTCCTACATCACCGGTGTATACATCTACAACCTCGGACGGCTCAAGTAGTGATTCCCGAACCACTACTCGTCACCCTCCTCTGCGTAGAAGGGGAGCGTTAACTTACCGGAAAATTGCTCTTCCACCAACCCATGAATTTGCTCGACTAGTCAACAAGTGCCTCCAACCAACAGTTATCATACGGAGCAAGTTGCACGACCAGCACGAATGGATCATCTTTGAGTTCCGCAAGCTTGGGTCGGGTGATTCAACTATTGCTGCATATGTACGCCAGCGACATAGACTTACCCACGTGATTAGCGGTAGGGCCGTCCGATGGGTGGACGGAGCTACCATCCTTGCGTTGGAACGCGAGCTGTTAAAATAGTAAAAGCCTTAATATTAATAAACCCCTAAACCCCATTGTGTTGACAAGAGCAATAGTATTTACAAACCCCTAAACCCCATTGTGTTGACAAGAGCAATAGTATTTACAAACCCCTAAACCCTATTGTGTTGACAAGAGCAATAGTATTTGCAAACCCCTAAACCCAAACCCTAACCCAAGCCTTAATATTAATAGAACCCCAAACCTTATATATTGACAAAAACCTTAATGTTAATAAAACCTCAAACCCTATATATTCATTAGAGTAATCATGGTACTGAAAAGAGTCAAATCGCTTCAAGTCCAACCCCTAGTTTGATGATACTGAGCCTATTCTTTTTAAATCTGGTGTAGGGGGGTTGACCATTCAGCCTTGCGTCGTGGACCGTCCCGCTCGAACCCATAATTGTATCGCCTCAATTCATTCCTACCGCCCCCTTTTAGCCACCAATATCTGACCTTGCGCTTTTCTAGGTCTTGGTGGCGTATAAAACAAACCCACTTGTTTGGTTAAGTGACACACATCTGCCTTGCACATCCAACAAGCAACGCAGACAAGCCTCCAAGTAACGGTTAATCTACTTTTACTTCCACCTTCTCTAAACTATGGCGTATCAACGAGTCTCTGCGCGTACACGCGGCGGTAAAGGTGAAGACGTACACGGTGAATTGTCAAGTCCCAATTCCCTAGTCCACGACCAACCCTCAACACCCACATCCTTTTACCCGGATAACATGGCTGATGAAATTCTACCACTTAATTCCACCGAAAACATGCATAGTCTTGCATCCACCTTTCCTTCTCACTCTACAAAAGTATCGATGACCAGCCTGTCCGACTCATTGCCGGACGCCCAAGAGTTTACGTATTCCACAAACATGGACGTGATGGATCTGCAAGTCGATGAACCACTGCTGCCGTATACGGTGCCATCTACACCCAACGCCAACTCTAGTGTGGATGACCGTAGTGGCCCAACTGAGAGTCCCCTTATCGATAGCGACTATAGCGTTCCGGTCAACGATATACGCAACCTATTCCGTTGCAACACGTGCAAGATTGTTACACCGGACGTAGGTTTATGGTCCAGCTGTACCACCAACGTGTGTCGTGCGTGCTCTAAGACACTAGTGCTTACCAACAACCAGTGTACCAACTGCTCTGATCTGGACTGCCATATTGTATACGAATCACCCCTGGCAGCCAAACTAATTGCGCTCCTGGACCGTACGTGTAGCCAATGCAATGTGACTACGAACCCAATTGTCGAGTTGAACCACGTGTGCGTATACGACTGCGCCAGTCTCCACTGCATCCCCGGAGAGTATGAGATTGAGGTTGCTACAAAGGGTGAGTGTACAATTGATGACTCTGATATGCCGAGGTCGGATGTGCTTGTAGGTGCAGCCGTTCGTCTTAGTGGACACGTGTACACTATAATAGCACACGCTACAGACCAGGAATATGTAATACTGGAACAGCAGGACTCAAAGGTACGGTTCAAGATGCACGTACACTCAGCTTTGCACTTGTACTACAATACTAGAGTCGTGTCGAAAACCCCCAACCCCAAGAAAGACAGTCGCCGCAAAAAACGGCCATCCAAGTCCGTGGTAACAATGGCTCCAGGTGCAGATGCACATCAACAGCAGCCAACCCGTACACACTCTTCAGACAGCAGTGGACCCGATAATAAAAGGCTCGCTAAGCCACGCACTCGGTTCCGTACTATTCCGCTACTTAAACAGACCAAGCTACATAGGGCTGTTACCGGATGCCGTCTGTCTGAAGAGGCCATCAATGCTATACACGAGCCCACTCCCGGCTATGTGTGGCGTGTCGAAGCACCAGAGCAGAGAGGTGATACGATTCGGTACAGGGCAATTATGATGTCTATTGATGACAACAAGCCCCTCCCACATCATCGTTCGTTGAACATTGTCGGTTTTGGCCCTAGTTCCTATATCCCCAGCAGCAAATACAAAAAGTCCGTGTCGACCCGTGACCTCTAAACCCGTTTTAACTTTGGAATCCCAAGCATCGTAGTTTGTTTAATAAAATGTTTATTTTGAATAACCTTTGCATCGTATCATGTTTAATACAATGTTTATTTTGAATAACCTTTGCATCGTATCATGTTTAACACAATGTTTGTTTTGAATACTAGCCATTGCATCTACACAACTACCGGTAAGTGTTTATGATGCAAATAAAACCGGGTTGAAAAAACCCCCAACCCCCGAATCCGTAAATAAAACCGGGTTGACAAAAACCCTCGCCCGCGAATATAGTGCTCATTTGCACTACATGTATTGCCGTGTCCACGAAACAATCATGTTCGGTCAACCCACCCACTCGCAGCGCTAAAATCCCAAAATACACCAAGGGTTAGGTGTATAAAAGGGGCGTACTCTTTGGGTGAGGACATTCATAACCGTTTTGCACATACATCTAAAACTGTTGACCAAACAAAATGATTGGATGCACAAGCCCACCGAACCCTCTCGTCGCCAAACACGGCCCTGATTGTTTTTGCGGCGATAGGGCTGCTACAGCGACACTGATCGACAAGCGCAACCATCAAATATACGAGAATCGGCATTTATTTCTGTATCTGCTTGCGCGTGACAACATGACAACCCCGTGCTACTGGACGATTTCGGACACCCTAATGAAGGCTGCCGATAATGTATTGGATCTCGACGCCGAGTTGGTTGGTTATATATCACACCGCATCTCCCAAATGTCCCAGGAGGATACCGTGTTGCCTATGATGGTGTTTGTTTTAGCTGACATAGTGATAAACAATGCCGACAGGTTTAAGGCTCACGATCTTGGTTCACTGTTTAACCTACTTGCACGTGGTAAAGACTCGGCCGAACACATTCTTCGCGTACAACGTACCATGGACAATATCCGTTTGAAACTGATTGTCCACTTTGCAACGGCGAGCATCTGTGAACTCCACATCTAAGTCTATTTTTCTAGTTCGCGTGTGAGGAAGACTGAATCTACTACTACCCCAAAATATTCTGCGACGAACGATAACTACAATAAAAAAAGACCTTATACTTACATTTTATTGAACATGTCCCTTTTTCGTAAGAGCTTATTTTAAACATCAAAGGGATCAAAGGGTCGGAGGTTTAGAACCTCTTTGATCCGGCCAAAACTAAACATTACATAGGTGTTGGGGGTTTGTTGGCGATGAGTATTGTGTGGTTTTAATGTATCAAATTATATAGACGCTGACCCCGATCCTAAACCCTAAACTCTTTAACGACAAAAAACCCTATAAACCCAAACCACGTGTGTGGTATATATATGAGTCATTGTGGCCAGTAGTCGGTGTGGTTCACCGATCGCCCCTCATCGGTCAACCACCCATAATCGGGGCTTCATTTTGCCGACGCGACTAGTATAAAACCGTAGTCCCGGTCCAGCTCAAAATCACACTTTCAACTTCTCCAATTTAGTTTTTTGCGTATAAAAGCGGCTGGTCCAAATCCCTTGAACGATGACTACCCCTACACTGTTTGGCTTATCACACGATTGTCTCCGACGCATTCTTGGTTTTCTTAATCCTCCGAGTGCGCTGGAACTGTGCGTAGCGTACGGACGACCCGAAATGATGGGTTGGTTTTACGAAGACGGAGGAGTGTACACATACGACGGGACAGATCATTTTCTACCCCCTAGACATATTAAACATTTGCGCTATACTGGCGTATCACCGAACGTCGACGAATTGGCTGCATACACCAGTCTGCACACACTCAAGCTGAAGGATACCAAGGTAACGAACGTTGACGCCCTAGCTGCGTGCACTAGCTTGCACACACTCGACCTAAACTATACCCAGGTGACGAACGTTGACGCCCTAGCTGCGTGCACTAGCTTACACACACTCAGGCTGAAGTATACCAAGATAACGAACGTTGACGCCCTAGCTGCGTGCACTAGCTTGCACACACTCGACTTAAACTATACCCAGGTGACGAACGTTGACGCCCTGGCCGCGTGTACCAGCCTGCACACACTTATCCTGTACTCGACCGCGATGACAAACGTCGACGCCCTGGCTGCGTGCACTAGCCTGCACACACTCAACCTAAACTATACCCAGGTGACGAACGTTGACGCCCTAGCTGCGTGCACTAGCTTGCACACACTCGACCTAAACTATACCCAGGTGACGAACGTTGACGCCCTGGCCGCGTGCACTAGCCTGCACACACTCAACCTAAACGATACCCAGGTGACGAACGTTGACGCCCTAGCTGCGTGCACTAGCTTACACACACTCAGGCTGAACAATCCCGATGTAACGAACGTTGACGCCCTAGCTGCGTGCACTAGCTTACACACACTCGACCTGAGTGATACCCAGGTGACAAACGTCGACGCCCTGGCTGCATGTACCAGCCTGCACACACTTGACCTGAGTGATACCGGGGTAACAAATGTTGACGCCCTGGCTGCATGTACCAGCCTGCACACACTTGACCTAGAGTGATACCGGGGTAACAAATGTTGACGCCCTGGCTGCATGTACCAGCCTGCACACACTACAATAAAAAACCTTACATACATTTTATTAATATTTTAAAC